TTTTATTTTAAAGGTTTCAGTGTGTGGGTGTGTTGTTTCATTCTTCTAAAATCCCAAATTTCATTCTCAATATAAGCTAAATAAGTAAAAACAATATATATATATATATATATATATATGTATATGTATATATCACACTGATATTATTTTACATTTAAAAAAACGATTAATATAAAAAATCTGCAAATGATTTTCTACATTTTATATCAACTTTCTATTAAGCTAAAAGAATTTTTTATCAAGCTAAATATTTTATTGTATACTATGAGTTTTTTATTTGCCAATGAAATAAAATTGAAACTTAATAGATTCGTCTATTAATTTGTTAATGTACTCAACATATCGATCTCGCTAACAGTTTCATTGTTGTAGCCTACAGATGGGTAAATCGTACCAGCTCTCAATCGCTGCCAGAAAACGCGGTCAGCGGCGGTCGCGATTGTGACGGAAGCCCACTTTACGTTGGCAGAGCTTTCCACGATGGTGACATGGTGCCGGCGAAAGTGATTCCTGACAAGGGTGTCGCCTACATTTGTCACAGCGGCGAGGAACATCCCAAAAGTAATTACGAGGTGAGAGTGCAAACTCAGATGAATTTTTTTTCTATAATGTTACGAGAAACCTGAGCTCAGCTTCGAATCAACAACAGATTTCTTCAATTTTGAAACAGCGATTAAAAAGCGATTATATCATTTATGTAACTTACGTAACGTGCTAAGTACACAGCACCAATCAAAGTGCAAGATTTTCTAACTAAGATTAATCGTATCGATTTTATTAGACTCATCTAGATAATCTCGAGATATCAAATTTTTTTCGGAAGTAGCAATCCGATCTGACGAAAATATGATTCGGTGTAGGTGGATCAATGATTCCGCGAGATTATTATTATAATGATATTTTTCGTTATCTGATAATCTTGTTTGATAAAAAAAAAGAAATAACGACTGCCGGCAGAATTAATTGGCGATAGTTACAAGGAATTAATTGCTATACTGTAAAGTAATAAGTTACGATACTGTCAGGTTCTCGTCCAAGGGGAATTCTCATGGGAGTTCTGCAGCAATGGTGAGGTACCATCAGATGCGATAGTCGCTGGTCAAACCGCGGACGGAGAACCTCTGTATGTTGGCCGTGTCCTCCATAGCGGATCTCAAACAATTGGCAAGGTCGGTCTTTTTGGCAGCTGTTAATCTCAGGGCTCGATAGTGATAAGCATACGAAAATATATGGGATGACACTTCGATATTCGAAGCGCGCTTCCGCCAAAGTGTTCTCCAATTTGTACTTCGCATTTGGCAAGCGAAACGTTCACTTTTATCTTACGCGGTCCTATTTACTCTTAGACAAGAAAAATATATTTAATTTAAATGTTTAAAAAAAATGTATACATATTTCCTTAGGTACAACCGAGTCACGGATGCCTGTACATTCCGTTTGACGGCGAGGAGTTGTCGTTCAAGGATTACGAAGTACTCGTTATGCATTAACTCGATTGCGGATGCCCAAAGATTGAAGATGTATTACGCATTTTATACACAACCGAAGTTAATTGAGTCAAAACAAAACAACCTCCAAATAGGCCGCTGAAGCATAAAGAACTGAATGAAAAATTATTGCGAACAAAACTTTCCGTTTTTTTTTAATTTGTAAAACTTCATTGAAATAAATAACGAAAGGATAATTTTAAATAATTATTTTTAATTATTTCCTACGAATAATAAATATTTTGTTTCGAGAATGAACGATTACCGGATAAATAATTCGTATTTTTTTTTAGTTTACCTTAACGTGTATTTATTTATTCGTGTAATACTGTAATTTATTATTTTAACTGCGATGGCATCGTTACATAATTGAAATATTAGGTTGATCAAAAAGTCTTTTCGTATTTACGAATTTAAATACGAAAAGACTTTGTGACCAACCTGATTTATCTGATACATTACAGTATTACACGAATAATCGTCAGTCACTAAAAATATTAAAACAATAGTTATGTACTATTGTTATTTATTATTATATCATATAACAATAGACACGTGACATTAAAACTGTATATCCATAAAATTTATTGTTATCTTCTATTTCCATACGTCCTTCGTTTCAAGTAATTTAAATGCTTTTCGTGCTTTAAACTACATTTTACATTGTTAAAAAATTAAAATATACAATACTGCGTAACATGTTGACGAAGAGAATAAATAGCCTAGTTAAATTGTTATCAGTAAACGACGAAATAAAAATCAATCTGAAAGGCAAACGAGCTACAGAAATAAATAATACATTGGTGACCTAAAATTATAAAGTGTGATTATATCGATATATGAAAACGTGTGGCAGGAGAAATCGTTTCTGTCCATTAAATTCGATAGCTCTGGAAAAAAAAATCGAAAGTTGCTTTATGCGCTGGACGCGGAATTGAAATCATTAACTATGCTCCATGGCTACTGATTGGAAATCCACGATCCTCGAGTAGCGGTTCAGCGGAGCGAGAATGCAACGAAATCAAATAGCGCTTTGTCGGCCCGCGGTAATTACTGCTTACCAATAGACGATTTATTGCGATGTATCAGTGGGCTTTTGTGCCGATCGGCGACGCCGATCGTGTAGCGAGTGGCCAGTTGGCCACCGCGAAAAAAATCGTACTTTTCGCGTGCCGCAAGCACGGCCGCCATGATGGCCGACGAGGATGGCTCTTGAGTAATGACGACCACAGACGCACCCTCGTCGGTCGGAACATCAAGACAGAGAGCGGGAGAGAGAGAGGAAAGAAAGAGAGCGAGAGAGAGGCAGAGGTGCCGGTGACAGCTCTGCATCGAATATTTTATAAGCATCACTGTGGAATTGCGAGCATTACTCACTTGACGGCGTTATACGTCAGACTTAAGAGCCAGGGCCGCCCCTAGACGTCTTTCGTCGCTCGCGGACGCGACCTTGCGAATTTTCATACGTTTCGATTTCGCGATACCGCGCCGCCACGCGAACCCCGAGGATTTCGCGATACGCTCGCGAGGACCAGACTCGCGGAGCTCGGTCGATCGGAGGACGGATGCAGGCGCTTATCCGAGTGAACGAGAGGAGCGAAAGAAGCGCGTGAGAAATTAAACGTGACAGCGCGGCGATAATTGGTGACGGCCAGGACACGCGAAAATCCGGCGAGGTGAATGAAAAAACCGCGATGGTGGCAACCGCGACTCTGGCCTGTCACACGATCGCGCGGCCGAGCTGCGCGAATAGCTTTGAATTCACCGTTGCAGATAATGGCACTTAGACGGCCCTGTCTAAAATAGGCTCCGACTGTAGAACGCTGGGACCGTGCGTAGTAGTGATTACTTTATCAACGAATTGTCACATTTAACAGCGCCTCGTCGAGCGCGGCAGCGATTCGACGACGCTGCCTGTTTACGCTCGGTTGCCATCCGTTCGACATCGTCGCGGTCGCCGGGTGATCGTTTCCGCTTCAAAAACGGCCAAAACGGATCTCTCGCGGTTCCTCGTTAGCATAGTAAAATTCACGCGCGGCAAGTCGAAAATGGTCTTTACGCGATCGAACGGAGTCACTCGCCCGCTATTCTCGACAGAAGAGGAAATACGTTCGGACAACGCCGGGCTAATAATAACCACCATCATCTAACGCGACAGGGAAGAATTTTCGTAACGAGAGGAACGTGTCAAGGACGAATTGAAGGCTGCGTGATTGATCACTCCGGATGGAGACTCGGTGAAAGAAGCTTACGCAACGAGGAGATCGCACGAGGTAATCGTACGGTTCGTGAGTAGCCCCCCCTGCGAGTAGTTGACACCATCCGGGCGCGAGGACGTTCGCACATCGTGGGAGATCGCGACGGTAAAACTTTGAGAATTTCTCGGCGCGCAGAAATTCGCTCATCTCGACGGCGCTTTCTACGGCTACCTCGACGTAGGCAACGCATCGATCGGCGGGATAATCGGGAATCCAGAGCGTTCACGCGAGGAGGAACAATGTATCGTCGAATCGTAAGGTATATGAAGCCGAAAAAGATCGTCATTCGCCGACGCAAGAACAAGTACTCCATGGGCAGGAAGATGAACACGATAATCATGACGCGTCGTTCGTTCATCAACATGTCAATTATGTTGAGAATGTTGGATTAGACTTTGTGCTACGTTGAAGAGATTTGGCGCACAAGGCAGCACGTTATGCTTCATCGCGGAAGACACTCGCGTGTCAAGGTGATCACCATGTTTTTCGTGTATCGAGAAAGAAAAGCGAGCGAGACGAGCGGGGCGATCGCCGGGGAGGAATAGGATTCAGGGAGCGCGGCGGGAGGACCCCCGTAGGCCTCGGACCACCGTCGTCGGGGGCTGACCTTGACCCGAAAAACTTCTGCGGGGCGGAATCGGAAGCGACTCGGCGGAGGAGCGCTGGTAATCGGCGCTCGTGGAGGAGCATTAGCCGCGTGTCGTGCACCGTGGAGGAACCGATTAAGCGCGCAACGTCGACGACGTTGCCCCGAGGGGCCACCGCGTGCGTGCTTAGTGCCTGGGTGGATGTACACGAAGGCGGATCAACTCGTCGCGCGCTACAGGAGGCCCGATCATAGGAAAGAGCGGCGAGCGAGCGGTGACAGCGCGGCCCGTGAAAGAGGTGGTACCGGGTTACGCTGGTGCTGGCGGTGACCGGCGAGGGAAGGAGACAGATAACGCCGCCGCGTCTCGTAATGCACGATGGTGCATTAGCCGGGAGTCGCGGGACCAACGTGCGATTTCTCTCGAGCGCGCGCCGTGCGACCTGAACCGCGAAATCCGGCCGCCCCTTCGAGCCGTTCCTCGAACTGGTACAGACAGCTTGATGCTCTTGGCCCGATCGTGTAGCCGGACAATCGAGAGAGAGACCGTGAACTCCGTCCCCTGAGAGAAATCATCTCGGCCCATATTTCTTTTTTTGACGTAAAATATGTCCGAGATCACGACGACGACGATCGGCACGCCCGCGGGGCTCACACCGGAGAAGAAGCAAGCGGCCGAAAAGTCGGACAGCGCCGTCACTTGGAAGTCCATGAGCATCCGGCAGAAATGGTCCTTCCTGACCAGCAACATCACCGTCGAGCCGATGGTCGCGTGCTACGTGATACCGAGCGTGCTCTCCCAGCTGGCCGTCCAGAATCTGATCCTCGAGAAAGCGTGCCGGGTGAACCTGGCCTACCCGGACGAGCTGTGCTCGGCTTTGTCCGCCAGAAACACCACCGGCTACGAGGCCCAGGAGACCGAGGTCCAGCAGATGGTGGCGCGTATGCAGACCTGGAAGACGCCGCTGCAGAGCGCCCTGCCGACCATCCTGATCCTGTTCATGGGCGCGTGGAGCGATCGCACCGGCCTGAGAAAGCCCTGTATGCTGCTGCCGATCATCGGCGAGTTCTTCAGCAGTATCACCCTCATCGCCTGCACATATTGGTCCGAGCTGCCCATGGAGGTGGTCGTGCTGGAGTCAGTGTGGCCCGCGTTAACCGGCGGCTGGGTATGCATGTTCATGGGTACCTTCAGTTACATAGCGGACATCACAACCGTGGAATCGAGAACGCTTAGAATCGGCGCGGCCAACGTCTTCCTGTCCTTGGGCGTGCCGATAGGCATGGCCCTCTCGGGGATACTGTACACGAAGCTGGGTTTCTATGGTGTCTTCAGCATCGCGATGGTGTGTTACATAATGAGCTTTGTGTACGGTCTAGTGGTTATCAAGGAGCCGCCGAGGGTGCACACGGAGAAAAAGTCCCTTCCGAGCAAGGGTAAGCGGACCTCATTGTGCGCCTTTGTACTGGACTTTTTCTCGTTGAAGCATATCGAGGAGACGTTTCGCGTGGCGTTCAAGAAAGGGGCAAACAATCGCCAGAAGAGGGTCATCGTACTCATGGTCGTTGTTATGGTCGTCATCGGGCCCCTTTACGGTGAGTAAATGACCCGCGAATAAATTGGGATCCTTTAAAGAATGTTTTCCTATCCCAAATGCTAAGCAGTTTATTCGATTAGTCAACAGTTGCGTCAATTAGTCAACGCGTCTCACCGATGACGACAATGTTAATAGCAATACTCTGTATCACGTACGAATAATTTTTTGCTCTTACAATTAGATCCACTTTAGACGATGTGTAACTCACATCAAAATGCAGAACACGTTTCTATTTCATACATCATGCAATGCGAGAATTTCAAGAATTAGAATACGTACGTGCATCATATATCAGATATATATATACATATATATATGATTAAAAAAAACGTTTTTACAAAAACGTAAATGCGTAGGTATATGCACAGAAAATTATAAGTAAAACTCTATGTGATAATTAATATTTTGAATTTCGAATAAGTTTCCCGAATTTTGAATTATAATCCAAAATGTACCTTACTGTATAACTTAAGGTGTTATCGTAATTGCCAATATAATTTAAATGTTATTTACATGACATTTAAATTTCGTTAAATTTTTCAATTATTAAAAATAATTAAATTTCTAATTATCAAGATAACTAAATTACAGCTAAATTTGATCCAGCTTTATATATAATAACTTGGTAAAATAGTGCGATCCAATAGCACTATTACTAAAAACTTTATTCTAATTAAAATTATACATATATGTATATCTATAGTAATACATACTTATATAAAATTCATAAAAACAACATTTTTTCACCGAATTGAACTTAGGTGGAAGTAATTACGATAATTATCTGCTCGCATTATGCAAATCAGAAGCAGCTCACAGACACATGAGACGTATGAGTCAAATATGCAAACAATTTGCATACAATTAAGTAAAGAAAAAGATCGGTAAAACCCCGCTGAAAAACAGTTGAAAATAAAATGCATCCACATCATTTCTCACGTGCGTTCGTAGCACGATAAAAACCCGCTGTAATTCTCGTTAATCTTGCTACCCGCGTTGCGGTAACTGTGCGCATTCCCATCGGTAATTACTTACGTCCGACGGTGTGAACATATGTATATAATATCGTATGCCAGGGGAGAAAGTAAGAGAAGATATGGCAAAGCATGAGCTGAGCACACATTATACGAGCGCGAAACGTGTATATAGCGTTACTTCGACGCTTCTTGGGCTATTCGAATAATCCACGTATTTCAAAGCGTCAACAAAATATCTAACTGCAACTCGTATTATATATTTCCTCGGCTGCACTCGAGAATCCGTGACATCGCGCGTAATGTGCAACGAGGCGTTAGACTCGTAAATCTACAAGGTGTTAGACGTCGTAAATCTATAATAAAGACTGAAGGCAACGCAACAAGCAAAGCAACAAACATTCATTATACATCCGTTATAGCTTCGATTTATACGGCAAAAGTTTTTATGAAGACCGCGCGCGCAGTTTTCAGGCGAAATCTATTTTCTGCAGCTTTTTCCAACAAACACGCACGTTCTCGGCTCGCAGGCGGGGGGGAGGGGGGGCTCGTAGATAAAAATTTACGATATCGATACGGACGGTCGGTCGCTTAATACCAGCATCCAGCCTCACAGTGCCGGACTGTATCGGCAACAATAAAGCCTCCAGTTTCTGCCAGTAGCCCGTGCAAGCACGCGACCACACGAATCATTCAATTTTTCAATTAGCGTGCATTTGTTACAACGCGGCTATCGCGACTTTAATGCGATCGTGCGCGCGCTCGCTACAGCGACGACGCACAATTCCAGCACATTTCGCGGATGCCCTTGTCACAATTTAATTATATAGGTAGCCCCGTCGTTACAATGTCTGGGTACGCATTAGCACGCATTACCCCAGCTGCTAAGTGACGCGGGCAGTCGTCACGCTTATAACAATTTCAGTTTAATGGACGTCTTCCTGATTTCGAATGCCGTAACGCGGATATACCTGTAAGACTCTTCTCGAGAAGAGTCGTCACTTTTCTCGACTCTCTCATTGTCGTCACAGCCGCTCTCGGTGACGTTCCAACAACGGCAATAATTTATCCTGACAGCTTAATTTTACACCGCGAACGAGCAAGCAAGATCCGTAAATAGATAGATTCGCTGTAATAATAGAGACGAAAAACAATTCTCAAGTCAGTGAAAAATTGTCCGATGCGCGAGAGGTTTGTTCAGTTAGTTACACGTTTTTTTTTAGCTATCGTTTATAAGATCTTTTCACTAGAATTGGCATTAATTAGCAACGACTAAGGAATAAGCGACTACGATTCGACATATTTCGCTTGAACCGAATAAAAATGAGAAAAATTACACAAATTTATGCGCAGATAGCATTAATTTCAATGTACACAAAATGCGATAGTAAAATAGGCACAAGGAAGATGTAAAATTTACATATGTTAGAGTACATTGACAAATGAATGACGTTATTTTCCAGATTATACCGTGAAGTTCCCCCTGTCCCTCTCCTCACCGCCCTCCCTCTCTTTTTACGATAATTTAATATCGAAATTTCAAGTCGTCTCCAACGAGTTAGACGTACGTACGTAAAACATACCAATGGACAAGCGCACGCAAAATTACACGCTTACTCGTACGCAATCTCCAGTCAGCGCTCATGCTAACGCGATTCGCGCGAACGTGGCTATATATTCACGATGTAATTTCAGATCTTCGCTCGTCCGAGATACGTGGTGAAAGTCCGCGACTACTACGTTATATAGCAATATATTTTCGTTGTAATCCTGAGCGAGGAGTGTGTCGCATCGGGGCGAGGAGCGCGCGGCGAATTTTAATGCGGGATGAATTACGGAATCCGTAACTTTTCACATTACGTGCCAATCGTGTAAACATGTCATTGCATTTCATGGGAGAGCGCGCATTGCACGCGCGTGCACATTTCGAAAGGATGACGACTCAGATATATCTTCGACACCCCCGCCCCCTTTCCGCCCGATCCCCACCCTCTCCATTGAATGTCTTCTCTTTTCTGAAAAAGCGAATCATTTTTACGTAATACTAGCATTGCGTTTGACCTTCGCAGTTAACTTGGCATTACTACAGGAAGCAATTGTCGGTCTAATTGCAGCCGATGTAATCGTGAAAATCGTTCGTAATTGAATAGAAATCCGTCACGCTTGGGTGAATCTGTAAAATATCTCCGTGGCTATAGTATAACAGTATGAAACTTAACGATAATAGCCTCGTAAAATATATGATATGTTACCGCAAGTCAATCGTGAGTAACGATGAATAGTTTATTCGCGTATCGAGAGTGTACGAGTTATACAGCTCGCATTAATAGTAATTACATAATTATATGATTAAAAGCGCAAACAGACGCTTAGAGGAAATCGATTCTGTGAAAACTGAAAAAAAACTCGAAAATCCCCTTTGGATAAATGAGCGAGTTGAAGATTGGCTGAGTTCGTAACGAGACTTGACGTAGTTAATCCTGTAAATACTCGATAACGAGTAACACAATAGCGCGCCCGTCATCACGAATCGGGATTTTTCTCTAGGAGAAGTCCGACAGTCCGAGAGAAAATCCATTGTACGCAAGTCTATTCTTATACGCGTCAAAGCGAAGAAATTACACGCGAGAGAGTCCTTACTATATCCAATGAATAGATATTAAATATAAAACTTAGCAGCTGGAGTCCTTCTCTCGCTCGCGGATCGGAGGATCATTTAACGCGGGTCAGGTTAAATTTTTTTATATTATTATTGCACACGTCGATTGATTCATCATGCCTGTTTCTTACTCGACAGAGACAGCGATTATGCAACAAGAGCGAGTGGTATTATCAAGTCTGTTTCTTTCGCAGGCGAAATGGCGGTTCTCTATCTTTACATGCGGTACCGATACAACTGGAACGAAGTGACGTTCAGCATGTTCTCCACGTTTGGCATGGTAACTAATCTGATCGGTAAGAAAATCAATCTCAAAACGTCGCGCGCGCACGCGAGAGAGAGAGAAAGAGAAAATTGAAATTTACGCGAGCGTTCGTTTCGTTTCGTTGAAAAAATCTATATTTGCGTACAACAAACTCTTCCGGTTCTTCTCATTCGTCTCGATCTCGCCGCTAATTTTTGAAGTAGAAATGTAGAAACGCGGACGCACCAGTCGGTCGGAGCGGATAATCTTCTCCGATTGCCGCTTCGCGCAAATCAAAGATGTTTGTTAGCTCTATTCTCGGTAACGATGTGCATGCATCGGGTTAATCAAGGCTTTTTGCGTTCATGGGTCGATGAAAGCAAACGGGAGACGTATATTACGTAAGAATGAATATCGTTGCCAAGCGGAATCGCCGGACTATCGCTTTTATCGCTGGCGAATCGTGCAGGAGTTGCAGGAATTGCCTTGAAAATGTAATCGCTGGTCGCAGTGGTCGACAAGCGGCACAAATTAGAAAACATTAAGAATATTTCGCAATAGAAAGGCAAATTGTCAATGACACGCGTATACAAGATAATTGTTGGAATATTCGTGCCTCACGAACTTTAACGTTCGCCGTATATTCGAGTATCGCACGGGCGTTTCCCGTTTGACTTTCTATTTGGCGAAAACCTTAATTCTGTTTATCGATGTGAATCATTTGCAAATCTTGTAAACGCGCAATCCGGCTCTCTCGCATTTTTTCTTTGACTAACAGATTACCCGGGACGCGCCGCTCGCACCGCTAGCTTACTAATCCTCTAGGATCGTTATTCGTGCGATCGTCCGGCGTGTTCGCCCCTCGCCACGAAAAATAAAATGAAAGATTTTCTCTCCTCTGATACGCAGGTACCGCGATCTCCGTCGGTATCTTCAGTCACATTCTCAAGATAGACGACGCGATTGTGGGTATTATGAGCTGCACGAGTAAAATTTTAGCAAGTTTCGTTTACGCGTTCGCCACGTCCACCTGGATGGTCTACGTAGGTCAGTCTTTTTAAAACGGCTAACATCAGGGTAACAACTACGTATATAAAATATATATATCACAGTACAGCCCCGTTCCCGGACGAGAGTATATCTAATAACGGATTAATTACTTGTTTCAGCCGCTATCGTGGAGATCGTCAACGGCACGTCTTTCATCGCCATGCGATCGATAGCCTCAAAGCTCGTGCCCACGGACGAGCTCGGTAAGAGAGTACAAATAAAAGATAGATTCTCCTTACGCACCGTCGTTTCTTTCTTGCCTCGGAGTTTTATGATCTCGAGAAAAAAAAAATAAGGCAAACGTGAGAAGCCTCGTATATATTATTATACGCGAAGTACATTATATATCATACGAGCTTCTGCGAAGCACTTAATTCGCGAATCAAAGATGATTTTCCTCCGTAAAATTCCACACAGAAAAGATAATTTAGCTGCGATAACGTCAAACGGACATGTACATACGTATGTCTGTCATGTTTAGATGAGCTCGCCTCGGAGAGGCGCATAAAACAAACGAGCGCCTTTATATAATGAACTCAAATATAAAAATTATACGACCATTATACTAATACTTTAGTGCCACTTAGGAGCGTTTTTCGACTTTAGCTCGGGCTTTACCTTACGAAGCGCCATGTGTCTCGCGGAACCGCGTAAATCGGATAATTTGGACACCAAATTGCATTTATGTACGTGGCGATGCTGCTAATTTTTCCATCATGAACAAAGACCTAACGAGGCCTTCCTGCCCGCGGCTATAATAACGACGAGGAAAATTCAACGCAATTTTTATTCTCCGCCCGAAGCTAAGACACGTTACGTAATTTTGTAGGTAAAGTGAATTCGTTGTTTGGCGTGTGCGAGTCCCTGATGCCGCTTGTTTATGGACCAATGTACAGCGCGATTTACGCGGCGACCATGAAAACGTTTCCGGGGACGTTCTTCCTCGCCGGAGGATGCATGACAATGCCCGCGGTGCTTGGGTTCTTGTGAGTATTCCGTGACCAAGTCGCGCCAATTATATGTATATTACGTTCGCCAAACCTGATTGTCATCGTTTCGTGACACACTTAAAAACTGCGATGAAAATTGAATTAAGTTTGCCAGCAATACGCTTGCGTAATACATTACGTATCTCTTAATTATTTCAGGTGGTTGTATACGGAGCACCGAAAGGATCGTATGCTGAAGGAGCAGAAGGAGCCCGAAGCCATGATGAATCACAAGAGCGAGGACGCGACAGATTACAATTTGAAGGCATCAAATCCTCGGATCATGGACGCCCAGAAGGGCGGACAGAAAACCGAAATGATGAACGGCATAGATAACGCGGCCTTCGAATCCGAGCAATTGTGATCTCATGTGTGATGATTTACGTGATCCTTTTTCTTTTTAACACCAAGACGTACGATACATTAATAATACCTCATCAGAAAAAGAAAGGAAAGTATATATATATATATATGTATATATATATATACCGTAAGGCCGTTGCGATAAATGCTGGTCACGTTGCTGATAAAGGCGCTAGCGAATTTGCTTTACGAGGAGGATACCGAAGGCATTTTACTAGCAAATGCCGATCAAACGGTATGTTGAAATTCAAAATATATGAAGATTCCGGGGAAACACCTTTTTATCAAGAAGGTTGAAACTCGAGACTCTCAGTATTTAGCGCAAAGATGACAATACGATAGTGATTTATTATAGAAATAACGAGACGAAAATGCGTCTCTCCGAAAATGAAGTCTAACGGAATTCTCGTTCCAAAGTTCTTAGTACCCCGTGAATTGCGATTCTGAATTACGGCGTTTCTCAAATCCTACGCAACTGCTAACTGTTATCACCTTCATACTGCATCAAGGTGTAAATAAAGCACTTTATTGAGACTTCCTCCTTGCCATCCATGACTTCACTTACTGCAGCTTGTAGATCTTGTTTCAAGTATTCTCAAGATGTAGAGATACTCCGAATGAAGGATAACTACCAGCTTATTTCTAATTTAACATTTTTAGTGCAAACTAGTGTCTAAATCTAACAAAAGAGTTGAAAGGGATTATTATTTTTGTAAAGATTTGACGACATGTAATTAATGCAATCATTTTAGAAAGGACATTATTTCGAGATTCTTAATTTTTTAGGAAATAAAAATTCGTTATATAAATACGTACAATGAAAAAGTCCCTTTTTAATATCTTTGAAATATATAGTCCTTCCTAAGATGAATCATTAAATTATATGTAATATATATTATATATATGTAATATAGATACAATTTGTTGTAATTTCCTTGCAAAGCTCTCATCGTCTTTAATTTAGTACTCGTTTAAAACTCGTTTAAAAGCGACCATGTAACAAAAGCATCGTATTTCGAAAACGTGGCGTTAAACACAAATTTTTATTTAATAATCTATATATATCCTTTACTTCGGGTACACTAGTACAAACTGTACTTAAACAGATTACGACGACAGTGTGAAAAGAAAATATGCGCATCCAGATATTCATATAGCAATACTGGCTAAATTAATTTGCTATTTTCTCTCTCTCTCTCTCTCTCTCTCTTTCCCTCTGCACTAATTTCTAATAACAAATCTTCGAAAGAGAATGTGAATTCTAATTTCTTCTTAGCGCAAATTTCGTAACAAATGTGCTGATCGCGTGATATTTAACATTACGATTAAGGAATTTTGAAAAGAGCTTCATCAGCGTATATATATAGACAACCGTTTTTTATCAACCTTAGAGTTTAACATGAACTTTGAGATGTAATTCATGTATACGCATGTATAATAATGTAAATCCGAAATTGATAAAGCAATAATGTATTTGTTTGCTGATAGCAAAATATACCTACGTTTTTCACATAAAATTTCTACGTTCTTCCTTAGAGCAGCTGTTACGATCCGTTGAAGTTTTTACAATTGTAGATTCGTAATTTTGTGCGTGACAAATTTAAGTGCGATAATTTAAGTACACGCATAACACGAATGTAAAAATCGGTTGCGTACATTAATTTCATAAATTTAATTAAAAAATAAACTGATTATATATTAAATAAATAAGAGAGATAAACCGATTGCTCTTCGTGTCTAAGTTTACATTCCGACTTTATGTATCTGCAACAATCTTTAATGTCTAAGCCCATTTTAGGCGATTTATAATTCGCGTCAAAACTCTGTTTATAATCTTATGTGCCGTGCGAAAAAAAGCTCGATATTGTTTTACATTTGACGTATATCAATAAAGTTGGAAAAAAAGCAGAAGTTTTCTATGCATTTAATAAAAAAAAATTATTTCGGATTTGCTTTAAATAAAATTATATTTAATGCTTGTCTCAATTACTAATTCACTTATCTCTCTTTAATCTTTTGTGAAACAACCGTAAAAAATGAGATCAATATAATAAAGAGTTAAGAACGTAAATCTTGATCATATTGTTGCGTTTGTAGATTATACAACAGATGTAGATTATACAACAGTTATTTATAAAGACTGAAAATGAGTTGTGAATATATAGTAACAGTTATATAATTTATCCCGTCCTTTCTAGATCTTGCTCATAATGTGCAAAAATAAGAAAACGGCAAATAAAGCTAGAATTTAATTATAAAGATCGAAGTTTTTAATTTTTGTCATCTTTCGTCTGATCATATTTTTCCTATATTTCTTTGTCTAATTTTTAAAATCTAACTTTTTAATGATTTTTTTAGAGCTTTTCCATAGTCTCTCAATACTCTATTAATTTTCGAGGGATCGTACTCAAAATCTCTAGCAACATTCTGTTCCATCAGTTAATGATTAATTACCAACTGTACATATATCAGTAATATAAAATTCTTATGTATGATATAATTATAATCGATATCAAGAAAATATACCTACCGGTTTGCATGATAAATTTTTATTTCATCAACAATCTTCGTTTAAACAAAATTAAAAAAACAACTTTACGTTGATGCGATTAATATATTATAATAATGCGCGTTAATCTATTTAATGGAAATCAAAGTATTTCATACTGAAATAATCATGAAAATATCACATAATCGACAGAATATAAAATAAGTATGGATGCTGCAATTCGATAAGATATTGCTTCAACATACAAAAATATACGAATATAACGATTTCATATGCAAGAATATAAAGGTTCGCGGAGGCGTATATTTCGCCTATATTCGGAGATTGGATTCGCGGGGGATAGTACGCTTGGACGATGGAGGGTGTGGAAAGAAATACTTCTCGTATGGTTCATGTTTTCAACAATTTTACTCCTAGGCTCTTGTTCTGGCCAGTTGAGACTGAGACCGGCGCGCACTCGCGGTCTCCCCTTTGTTAATTACATAATACATAAAAATAAATGGTATGTACAAATATAGGGAGAAATGTTAGGCACTCAATGAACAGAACGGCGAAACTATAAATGGTAGCTTTGTCGCGCGCACCGTGCGGGGTTTTTTTTTTTCACGGTGTGCGATTTATATCGATGAGATATGATGCGCTCGGAGAGCAGAGAGACAAGTTTTAGGGATACCGAGATGTGAAAGATAGAGCGCAGTTACACGCGCCAGAAAAGAAAAACCAACAGTGCGATCGGCTTCCTTCTTTTTCTTTTCTTCCTCTTCGAATTTCGTTCGTCACTCGACTCGCATCGAGTCCCAGGATCCGATTTGTCGCGGTGAAGTGACGCGTTGGAATGTTGACGGTCGGGCAACAAGCATTCTTTTTTTTTTTTTTTTTATACGGGGAATGTGCTCCGCGCGAAGTCTCACGATTATCTTTATCTTTTTCCCCTTTTTTTCTTCTTTAAAAATTAAGTCGCATTATCTAAGTACCGCAGTGTTGTTACACAACGTTAATAACGCTCCTCCCCGTATCTTCACTGGCCTTCGTATTCGTTACGGTGAACGGCGGTGGACACGTTCGAAAGGAAGGACTGCTCACTACTCCGATCGTACGCGTATCGGCGCGCGATCTTTTTTTTTTTCTTGCCCTCCCCGTATAGCCTGGGCATGTCTGTAGACTAGAGTTCCCGTGTCGTTATAACGTTGGTTCGAATCAAAACGTAAAACTCGCGTAAAACGTCCTACCGTCCAAATTTTTCCCCCTCCTCGTGTCCGCTCGCAAACTTCGATTACACACACACGCACACGCACACACACACACGCACACACGATACGATGATTAAATCCGTATCGCCACACGCGCTATGTTAAACGTAAAAATAAGGACGTAGTCGCTGTTTGTTGCAAGCGGTTTCTCTCGACACTGCCAGTCCGATATTATATAGTCGATGTCACACCTTTCGATCTTATACAAATGTCCCCTGCATCGCTTTATTAATCGGTCGATACATACAAACTACGTGATATATCATTGTTTCTTTTTTTTTATCCCCAAGTACTCGACGTTAAAGTCCACATTACGCAGAATAAAATAAGTTACACGATTTGTCTATTTTTTTCTCATTAAAATATGATACAAATTACAATTATTTATGCTTGGGAGTGTAAGAGCCGTTAGTTCGTGAAACTAGAAAGCCTTCGTTCCTTTTATTCGCGATCGTAAAAACTGCTTCTTTCTTTCCACAGATGGGATACAATTCGATTTGTACAATTAGAGCTTTATACATATCCTTGTAAGGTACGGTTGATATGACTCCGCGTTTTATGAATAAAGGATCGGCGCGCACGCCGAGGTGTCGGACGATGCGCGCGAAAAATAATATCTATTAATTAGTGCGGTAACGTGTTTAAGCCGAACGCGATCGCTGCCTCCTGTGGACACCAGCCGTAAGCCGAAAGGCTTCCCAGCACGATCGATCGTCGATCGGCAAAAATAAAGGAAAAGGGACGCGTTATACTATATAATAAAGTATGCAAAACAATACGAAGAATCGCTGTACATTTGGTCACTCAAGAGTTTGTCCTTAACCATTACTTATCTAAGTGTTACATTTAGCAGTGCGTATTACACGCTAACGGCCCTTAACCCGCTGATAATATCACAGATGAATGAGTTTCCGTGTTGTGCGTTACGCAACGCTATCTAAGATTCCTAACAAGTGCGTTGATCCTCTCGATTTTGTCGCTGAGCATTCGCCTCTCGGAATCGAGTGCTGTTCTGGCGGACAGGAGCTCGTAGATCTTCCGTTCTAACTGGGCAGTCTCGGAACGCAGGTTATTGGACTGTGTCATCAGTTTTGATGTTTCGCTTGTCAGTATCTTCCTCTCCAATGTCTTCTCTGTAACGGAGGAAGCAGGAAATATTCGTATTACTACATCGTATCGTACGAGTGTCAGTGTGTGTTAATTGTGTGTAAAACAAAAAAAGCTTTACCTTTCAAATACTCGCTGTAGGCGAACATAACGTCCACGATTCCGGTCCACCTCGGCTTTTCTCTTTTCTCACTCATT